GCGCTCCCGTCTGAGACTTCCTCGCAATGTAATCAAGACCCCCGCTCCCGCCTGAGACTTCCGTGCAATTTACGTGGGAACGGCGCTCCCGCCTGAGACTTCTTCGAATTTTATTCAGGACCCCCGCTCCTGCTTGACATTTCCGCGCAATTGACTCAGGAACGGCGCTCCCGCCTGAGACTTCCTCGCAATTTAGTGAGGACCCCCGCTCCCGCCTGAGACTTCCGTGCAATTTGCTCAGGAACGGCGCTCCCGCTTGAGACTTCCTCGCAACTTAGTCAGGGCCCCCGCTCCCGCCCGAGATTTCCTCACAATGTACTCAGGACTGCGCTCTCGCGTGCGACGTCCTCACAAATTATTCTGGAATTGCGTTTCGGCGCTCAGGAACCACGCGCGCGCCAAGGACGCCTTCACAACGTGGTATCTTCCCTCTTCCTTCGTCCTTCCCCCTCCCCTTCCTCCCACTCTCCCTCGTTCTTCCCCTCCTCCTCTTGCAGGGCCCGCGCCAATTCCAATGGCGGGCAGAGAGATGTACGCCCCCGAAGGATTGTCCGCCCGTTCCGGTTTGCCCGTACGTCTAAGCCCGCCGGCCCCAGCAAAGAGAAATAATCCCCCCGAAAGGGGTGTGATCGAAGACGAAGAGGGCGGGTTTCGAGGGTGTAGGGTATACGTGTTGAATGACTCGCGGGCAAGTAAGAGCGTACAGCCTTAAAATGGTTGTTGTTGTTGTTGTTGTTGTCGTTGTTGTTGTTGTCGTCGTTGTTGTTGTTGTTGTCGTTGTCGTTGTCGTTGTCGTTGTCTTTGTCTTTGTCGTTGTCGTTGTCGTTGTCGTGTTCGTTGTTGAACATTATTCCTTCTAAAGAATTATTATTGTTGGGACCCCTGGTGCGCGACCTCTGCGCCGCGCCTAGGCCGCAGCTACATTTTCATCATTTTTTCGCGAAAGCTTCAGAAAAGTGGATGAGCTCCGGATCCGGTTTTTTGTTGACGCTCGTTTTCCCTTGCAAAAAACAATAGAAAATGAAAATTCTTGTTTTTACTTGATCAAATTGCAAGAATCCCTTGCAAAAAATAAGGTAAAGTGGACATTCGTGCGCGCAAGACGAAATCCTTCCAAAACCTTAGGTTTCGTAGCGATTTTAACATAAAAACATCAAAAACCCAATGGTTTTCTCAGAAAAAATTGTCAAAATGTCCTTCCGCGCGCTCTTGCGGATTCCTAGGAAACCCACCAGATTTTAAACATTTCTGTTAAAAGGGCCTTTGCGAGGAACCTTTTCAGGTGCTTCGACCTTCTGCAACAACGGTTGCGAGCCTACGAGGGCCACCATCCCTTGCAAAAAATGACACGAAGTGCACATGCGCGCGGCCGCCGCGCGCGCGTGCCGAAATCCTGCCAAACATAATGTGATTTCAATAATTTCAAGATGCGATGTTCCGAAAACATATGCAAACGCAAGACTTTCTCATCCGAAAAATATCAAAATCCACCCGCGGGCTCTTCATGAATCTTTAAAACCCAAGATGGCCCCAAGAGGCGCTCAAGATGGCCCCAAGAGGCGCCCATGAGGCCGCAAGAGGCGCCCAAGATGGTCCCAAGAGGCCCCAAGAGGACTCCAAGAGGCCCCCAAGAGGTTCCAAAGAGGCTCCAAGTTGGCTCCAAGAGGCCCCCAAGATGGCCCCAGGAGGCGTCCAAGCGGCTCCAAGAGTCCTCCGGGAGGATCCAATAAGCCCCCAAGAGGCCCCAACATGCTTTCAAGAAGCCCCCCAAAGCCTCTCAAGAGGACCCCATGCGGCGCCAGGAGGCTTCCCCCCTTCCCCAAGAGGACCCCCAGCGGCCCCAGGAGGCTTCCCCCCTTCCTCTCACGCTCATATCCGTAGCCATCTCGGATCAAGGTATCGCCTGTGTTCTTGGATCATGGCTTTGACGGCGAAAGACCTTCACGAGCAGTATGGCGCAGAGCTGTCCCGGCCTCCCTTGGCCGACTGCGAGAGTGCGTATTATTTGCATCAGGCGCTCCGGGCAAAGGGTATCAATGCTAGTCACCAGGCGTGCAAGACTTGGTGGGCCAAGTATCGGGTTGTGACTGGCACGGTCAGTATTTCTAGCGCCAAGGAGCTGGAGGAGCAGCACGGCTCTGCCATCCGCCACCTGGGCATTGAGTATAATACCGCTTTCAAATTATGCCGGGCGCTCCGACAGTTGGATCCACCACTGTATGTGCCAGATAGGGTCGCAACGGCGTGGCTACTGCAGTATTCATCCAAAGACACGCTTGTCCAAGTGCAGAACGCTGGCCACTTGGAGACCTGGTATGGAGAACGTATTCGCAAAAACATGCCCGAGGGGACCACTGACGGGGCCGTCTTGAAGCAGTGGCTCCTGGGACATTTATCTGTACCTGCTAACGCCAGGGTATGCCAGAAGTGGCTCAGCACGGAGTGGGGCGCCAAGGGGGCATTGAACACTGCCCAAGCTGTGGAGGAATGTATGGGCGAGCGTCTTCGACTCAATCATAGCGCCATGAGTCTATGAGCAATGCATGCGTCATCCTTGGGACTGTATAACATCAGTGTAACACGTGTACTTCTGTAATCGCATCCCCACGAATTTGCCCCAAAAATGTGACCAACTATCTTGGCACTGCGTACCATCTCACGTGTACCGTGTACCACATCATATGTAACAGATGTGATCAACCTCTGTGGGTGTGTACCCCACGCCAGTGTAGTAGCCAGGGTCGTCCGCACGCCACGAAGTGAAGTGTCCCAACGTCATAGGGCGGGAAGCTGGGTGTGGGTGGTCTCGAAGAGTCGTTTGGATATTTGGTAGAGCTTGAACGGCCCCCCCACGAAGTGGGGGTATTGGCTGGTGTCGCAAGAAAACCCTGGCACTGGGGAGAACACTGAGCGTTCGGGTAAAATGATTGTTGTTGTTGTTGTTGTTGTTGTTGTTGTACTTGCAGGCGAGGCCGTGATTCTGCTACCCCGGGAGGAGTTGCAGGGGGGGTCGCAACCGCAACCGCGCAACGCTCGAGCGGTAGCGCCGGGGGGAGGGCGCAACAGGGCGGAGGGACGCGCAACCAACGGCGCAAGTGGGCGGGGGAGGGAAGGCGCAACAAGGGCAGGGGAAGGCGCATGCCATTCTACCCTTGGGGGCGCACTGGGCACGCTCCCTGCAAGCGTTCTGGGGGCGCTCCCTGTGCGCCCTCGGCATGGAGCGCATTTGGATCGCGCTGGGGGAGGCGCTGGGGGCGTACTGGGAGCGCTCCCTGGGGTACATTGGGATCGCGCTGGGGGGGGGGGGCCCTGGGGTCACACTGGGGGCGCTCCTTGGGGTGCATTGGGAGCGCCCTTCAGGGTGCCATGTGCCATAGGGGCGCCCTGGGAGCGTTGGAGCGCCCTTGGAGCGCTCCTTGTGGCCGCCCTGGAAGCGCTGGAGCGCACCGGGAACGCTCCCTGGGAACGCCGTGAAAGCGCCCTGGCAGCGCTCTGGGCACGTTTGCTGGGAGCTCATTGGCAGCGCCCTGTGGGCGCTCGATTTCCCTGGGAGCGGTCTGTGAGCGCTCTGAGAGCGATCCCTCGAGTGCGCCATGCTGGAGCGCACTGGGGGCTCACTGGGATCGCGTTGGGTGCGCTCCGTGGAGCGGGGGCGCTCCTGGGCACGTTTCCCGGGGATTCGCTGGGGGCGCCCTGCGAACGCTCCTTGCGAGCGCTCCGCGTGCGCCCTGGGCACGCTCCCTGGGACGCCCTGGGGCCCCACTTCGGGCGCCCTGGGAGCGTGCTGACGGGCGCCCTGGGGGCGCTCCCAGCTGCGCGCAATTCGAGTAGAATTCAATTGGAGCTGCACGCAGCTCTCATGGGATTCTATTAGAGCTGCACGTACCTGTAGTACGATTCTATTAGAGATGCACGCAGCTCTAGTAGGATTCTCTGAGAGCTGCGCGGAGCTTTAGTAGGTTTCTATTCAGAGCTGCACGCAGTTCTCGTAGGACTCTGTTAGAGCTGCACGCAGCTCTAGTAGGATTCTATTAGAGGTGCACGCAGTTCTAGTAGGATTCGATCGGAGCTGCACGCAGCTCTAGTATGATTGTATTGGAGCTGCACGCCGCTCTAGTCGGCTTCTCTTAGAGCTGCACGCAGCTTTAGTGGGATTCTATGGGAGCTGTACGCAGCTCTAATATGAGTATGTTAGAGCTGCACGCAGTTCTAGTAGGATTATATTAGAGCTGTACGCAGCTCTAGTAGGATTTTATTAGAGCTGCACGCTGCTCTAACAGGATTCTAGGCCTAATGGTAGACACCAGCACCAACATCGTCGGTGTACGTCCACCGAAGAAAGATGATCCCGATCTCGGTGATGATGGTAATATTCGGACTTCCTGGGCGACCGAGAGATTACCACCAACGCCAAAGTCAAAGGACCATCTTGCCCCAGTGGTGGCAATCCCTTGTTTTGGTGTCGGTGCCCATTCCTAATCCTCCAACGTATCCAAATCGAAAAGCAGGTCACGATTGACCCCGGGGTGGGTGAGCTGACCGATCTCGAGCGGACCTGGGCGGGCGGGAGAGCCGCTGATGGGGGGGCGGCGAGTCGCTCTCGTTATCCTGACGCATGCAGCGCAGATCGGTGGGTTGCGACGACGCCTCTAGAAGATCCGCGGCGACCAGAGGTCGGACTCCGCTGCGCTGGGCCGGCGCATGTTAACAGTCGACCCTGACCACTGTAGGGAGTACGACCTCGTCATGATGTCCTTGATTGGTAGCGTTTCAGCGGCGAGTGCGACTCAGGGCGAGTCTTACCACTGGGGCCTCGATGAGGGCACCCTTGGTTCGCGACATACATGATGTGTGGGTTCTTTCATGTTCACGCGCCGCCCAGAGGAGACGTAAGCTGTTCAGAAGCTTTGGCTCAAGAGTTGCCTTCGAGCGCTCATACTGATGCTTGAGCTGGGGCATTCTGAGGGTCGTGCATCGCGTGCCAGGCGAGTCACCGAGCGATGGGCAGCGAACTCGGCAGCGAGTCCAGCCGCCCGTCCCAACAATCGCATGCGCAAGGTGTCTGTCAGTCAGGGCCCCTGCGCCGCCCGTGAGATGCACATTCTGGTTGGATTGTCCCGGGGCGGCTTGCAGTCTCGCCCAGCTGGACTGTAGTTCTGGATTCAAGTTGGGGAGGCGGCTAGACGCGCGTTCCAGGAAGACAACTATCGGGTTGGGAGGATGGGGTGGGGAGAACTGATCAGATCATCCATGTTATCGAGTATGTTGAAGGTGCTTCTCACACACTCATACCCTGCATCTTCCCAATCCCTTCCTCTCAGCACGAGGTCTTTCTCGGCGATGGACGGGCCATCGACCAGCCAGCCGTTCACTCCGAAACCGTCTTGGCCCCGAGCTCCGACGAGCCTGCTCGCTGCCCGCTGGCGAGGGTCGTCGGACCGCTCGGCTCGGCCGCGCCGCCCACCGGCGCTGCGCGGCCGCCACGCAGGCGCCCATGGCGTGCTGGTAAGGGAGGCCCGGTGCGGCCGGGCAGCCCCGAGGGGCGGCGCCTCGCCGCGCGGCGGCAGCCGCGGCGGCGGAGAGCAGCGGTCCAAGACCGGCGCGGCGGGCGCTCTCCGGAGGCCGGGGCCAGGAAGCGGGGTCGCCGCAGCAGCCATGGGGGAGTGCGCGGCACGCCCCGCGGGCCCAGACGCTGGAGGCGCAGGCGCCGACGGCGGGGGCGCAGGCCCGCCGCACGAGCGCCTCGCGAAGGCGCCGCGGTGGTGCTTGAAGGCCGCCGACAACGACGTCGGGGGCCCGTTCCAGTACCGCGTGGAGTTCCGGGGGCCCGTGGCCGACCACGAGGCCCAAGCGATCCGGGCGCTGTCGGAGCTGCTGTGGGTGGGGCCAGGCAGGCCCGGCGAGGCGGACGCGGCGCTCCGCAGGTGCTGCTCCGCGCTGGAGCAGATGAAGGTGCTGCACGGCGACAAGCTGCAGGACTACGTGGTGCCCGTGGCCAACATGGTGCTGCACGCGCCCTGCCGCGCGGTGCGGACCAGCCTGTGGAGCCGCTTCGTCCTGGCTCAGGCGCAGGAGGACTGGACGCTGGGGCACCTCTTCTACTGGGCCTTCAGGTGCGTGGCAGACTCGCCGGACGCAGAGGGCGGCGTCCGAGAGGACGCCGAGGCCAAGTGCGCCGAGGTCGCATGTCTCCTGCGCGCCAAGGCGCTGTCACTGGGGCTGCAGGTGCTCCTGGAGTCCGCGAACGACGCGGCGAGGCTCGGCCGGACGCAGCCCAGGGCTGTCGCGATGGACCCTGACCAGGTGACCCCGCTCATCGACCTCCTCAGCCGGAGAGCAGCAAAGCGTGCACCTGTCCATGCCTTCCCCCCTCCGCAGAGGGCACGGTGCACACCGCCAGCGTGCCTGACCAGGGCTGTGCCCGGCCCTGGCACGGTTTGTGCGCGTTCCTGGCCGAGGCCACGGGGTTGTATACGACAACCTAGTGACTGCAGGGCCCCTGGGCCCAGAATGGCCCTGGCAAGGCACGGTGGCAGGTGGCGGTGTGTAGCGCATCCCGTACTCGTCCCCCCTGCCCCTGCTTCCCCTCTCTCCTCCTGCCCCCATCCCTTCCCGCCATGGGGGCGAGGGTATAGGTATAGGTGCACTCTTTCCGCTCCCCACCAGCAGGTTGAACGGCATAGGTATAGAAATTGTCAAGGTGAAGGACAAGGAGTCGCGCCTGGCGAGGCTGCGGAGCCTCATCCAGGAGATCAACGACCGGACAGTGGGCATGGCCCCGGTCCCAGCACTGATGCTCGCGCCCCACTCGTTCAGGTACCGCGACCAGGTGCCTGCCTCAGTGCTGCAGCTGCCCACGAGCGAGGCCCGCGTGCTGTCCTCGAAGGAGCGCGCCCCGTACCTGGTGCTCCTCGAGGTGGAGACCCATCGGATTGGCAGCTTCGGGCCCTTCGGGCTCCGGAAGGGGGTGGGCTGCTGCCGCAGGGCCCGCCCGCGCGACGCCGAGGTCACGAGCGGTCACGCGAAGGGCGCCGAGGTTGACGGCGACGAGGAGGTGAGCCTGATCCGGATGTCCAGTTGCGAGCACAGGGAGGCGGTGACGGGCAAGTTGCTGGAGCACGACCTGCGGCCGAAGGGCATCTTCAAGAAGGAGGACTGGCCTCAGGTGGTCACGAGGGTGCAGGGGTCCAGCCAGCATGGCTCGAAGCCAGGCTGGCACGTGGTCTCCATGATCGTGAAGAGCAACGCGGACGACGTGAGGCAGGAGGAGCTGGCCTACAGGCTCCTAAGGTGGTTCCAGCACGTCTTCCACAGGCACAAGCTCAGGCTGTGGCTGCAGCCCTTCCTGATCGTGGCCACCACCTACGACGGTGGCGTCCTGGAGACGGTGGCCAACGCCATCAGCCTGAGCGATCTGAAGAAGAGCTACGGCAGCAGCTGGCACTCTTTGAAGTCGTACTTCGAGACGGCGTTCCCGCTGGCGGACCAGGGCGCCGGAGG